TATTTACCCTTAATTTGAGCAGGTAAATGAGATAGTTTGCCAATTGGATGAGAATTTTTACTCTTAGGATAAGATAATTGGATAAAATACACTTGAAATAAGACAATGCAATTGTGTTTTCTTATTTTAAGTGTAAATTGTCTTGCTCCATTGGCAATATCTCTATTTTACCTCCTTAATCCGACAACAGATACACTTATTTTAAGAAAAAATGACTTCTCTAGATTTCCATTTTTTCTAGTGAAGTCTATTTTTTGTACAAAACTAAAGAGATATTCACAAATCTGACATCTTGTACATGCTTTTGACTATGGGTATGTTGGTCTGATGAGGTATGCTCATCTGACAGAACAACAGCATTCAGTATTTTTGAACCTGATGTAACTGTAGTTGTCCTGTTAGGATTTTCCTCACATTTACATTCTTGGAAAAAAGGCCATAGTTGGCAGATGAGTTTCAAAATGTTAAAATAATCTTTTTTTATGAAGAGATTATACCTTTTTATGAAGTTATAATCCAGAAAATAAAGAAATATGCTGAAAAAGTGACAGGATTTTTAAACAGCTACAAGTCATATCAGCCATATTCTTTGTAGTGTCGTTTGTTAGAGCAGCAGCTTATCTATAGCTGAGGGGAAATGGTTAGATAAGCTCATCAGGAAGGCCAGCGCTGTACAGGGTGCACCCTTGGCCTAATACAGCTGATTGCAGAGAGACCGACACAAGCAGAAATAATATTACTGTTGGACAATGTCTCCCACCCCCAGGCTGAAGCTAAAGAGCTCCTTTAGTAAAACACTTCACATTCTCCTCAGCTCTTTATATCCAGCAGCCGTTAGGCTTTTTAAACCATCACTGCTCCCAACAAACTCAGGAATTTGTTTAGATTTCTGCTTTTTCCTGTTGCTGTTTTTGATGCACAACTGTTACAAGCACATTTCTTACATTTTTATTTAATCCTTTCATTGGTGTGATGATGCTGTTTGTTCATAACCATAAAGCGGTTTTTGTTTCCTCTGTTGTGAACTTTTCCCCTGCTGCTAAAAAAAACAACCTGTTTTTCCCTCTGTGGGACGATAAACCATCAATCTAAGCTTTTCTGTTCTGCTTTCTGTATATGATAGCAATCTCATGTACTCTCTTTAATCCTGATGTACGGTGTAGGTTTGCAACATGGATCACTTTCATCCTGAGAAATGATCCACGTCATGCCAGAGATAGAGTTAGGGTCTGATAGAGCTGAAAAAAAAGCAACAAACAGAGAAAAAAACATGGCGGTGATGGGATTTGGGTATTTTTTATCGAACATTGTTTATCAAACAGTTATAAATGGCAAATATAAAATCCATGTTGATGCTGAATGTTCAGGTGACTAAAAGCTGAAGGTGAGGTAGAGGTTTAGTTATTTAGCATCGCAATTATTCCAGTTAGGAATCATATATCAACCTGATGAGGATTTCTGAAGAATAGAATTAAAGTTTAAAGTGTCATGAAACGGGAACAGATGGACCCAGTATTCAAGGAGAGACAGTCAGTAGGAAAGTTCAAAAAGGTTTATTAAATTAACAAAAACTAAAGTGAAGCAGTGGCTTGCGGACACTGCAGGATGGAGAGCGAGGCACCGCGCAATCACAGACACTCTGCAGGAGAAACACAGGTAAGTGACCACGATCATCTGACAGAAGATGATTATCTGATTTGGCCACTTACCTGGTTTAACAGTCCAGACCAAGAATGTCCCCAAGTGCTGCAGTCCCAGAGGACATGCTGGAAGCCGATCCTGCGCAGGGATCCAGAACAGACAGGAACTGGATCTAT